TAAAGAGTATTTGCATAAAAATTGAAAACACCAAGTGCCTAAAAATGTTTGTTTACATGTCAATATAAAGCACAAATACGCAACGCCATAACTGTTTGAAATTTTATCATAATTTCAGTTTGGAAATAGAAATGATCATAAGAATGTCAATACTAAGAAAAAAAATAAATATAACATTATATGTTCCATTTAAAAACGCCCCCTTGATCCAATAGCACGCAAGAAGTTATTTTCAGTTAGCTTGCTTGCATGGTCAGTTAAAAGTTTGATAAACTTATATAAAAATATTAAGTGTAATTATATGTCCTTTAACATACATGTATAGTTCAAAGTCCTGAATTATTTCCGTAAAGGTAGATACATTTAAGAGGTTTATCTAGCTCTAACATCAAGTTTAATCCACCATTTTCTACATAAGGAAATGCCTATACCAAGTCAGGAATATGACAGTTGTTTTCCATTCGTTTGATGTGTTTGAGGTTTTAATTTTGCATTTGATAAGGGACTTTCCGTTTTGAATTTTCCTTGTAAATCGGTATATTTGTTATTTTACTATTTATGTAATGTCAAAACTTTTAAACAGTTATTATGAAAACTAAACTTGAAGATTTACATTAAACACACAATGTTTACTGCTGTACCCCAATTTTTGACATTTTTACGTATTATGTCTCAATGTTTGTTTTGTGTACACTTTTTTGTCAATATAATGGCATTTTATGCGACTGTTATAAAACCAGGTTTATTCCATGATTTTCTACATAGAAAATGCATGTACCAAGTCAGGACTATGACAGTTTGATTTCCATTCGTTTGACGTCTTTGAGTTTTTGATTTGTCCATTTGATAAGGGACTTTCCGATTTGAATTTTCCTTGGTGTTCGGTATTTTTGTTATTTTACTTAACAATTAACAAAGCAAACTCTTTCACTTATTTTCATACAAAAGAGATCAAATTATTTCATATTTGTGACCGCGAATGATCAGTGTTTCCGTTAGATACATGGCAATACTATCTAGATGTAATGTTTTCAATTAATAATATTTAAATTACATGTATCATTGTTTATGTAAACAATATGTGTATTACATATTTCATAGTACACAGGACATGCTTACCTTTTGTAGCAATACATTTCCATAGCAGATACTTAAACAGCATAAAGACAAGTTATGTAATGTGATGAAGACGAATTGCAATCAACAGCTAATCAGCTGATTCTTAGGATGAATCATTTCCGTATGTACTAACCACAGAAAATGGAATTGTTTTACTATTTATTTTTCATAATTTATTTTTTATTTTTACTTAATTTTAGTACATTCAACCTTGACAATCGGTTGCATGAAACTTACTCCGCATATTTTACTATCCGTTCACAGTTTCGGCAAAAGTATGCAACCAGAGTAAATTCAGGATACACATTTTATATCTGTAGGAATACAAACTGACAGATATAAATCATTTAGCAAAACATATGCCTTTTGTAATGTTTTCATAATCAAATAATTTCAGCTTCTGTTTGTAACTTCAAGATAAAATAATTCCTATGCATTTGAACAAAAGGGAAGCTATAGTGTATAGTAGTTTAAACTGTGACGTTTTACAAATCCAAGTGCTTTAATCATAAACGTGATCAATTCATTTTTATCAGGTCGGGAACACTACCTTTTATGGATATGCATATATAAGCAATCTTATGTCCTCGCACATGTAATTGTTTATTTACGTATGACGCAATTTTTTTTACCTGGGTTTTTGACCAATCCACTCAATGAGTAACAATGCATGATGAACTACTACGTGTTTACAATCAACCGAGAACACGTGTTATTTACTGAAATACAACACATTTTTTTCATGAATTAACAATTTTGCTTAGTTTTTCATTTTTTTTCCACATTTATAGTCCATGATATAAAGTATTCGTTACATGCTCATATAAACGAGTTGTTTCTATGCGAAGAAACGAGTGTTTGAATTACCCGAAATATAGCCGTTAATATGATTGATGATGACACGGAGATTTCAGGTATTCTTCCACAACACAGCAACGAAATAACAGTGAAAAACACAATTACCCATAAGAAAAACTTTCATTCAGATAGTTGAAAAAATAAGGGATCCTTAAATTTTGGGTTCGTAAAAAAGGGGGAAGACTTAGAGTATGACAAATATCTGTTGTGGTCACTAAAATTTCTCAGCTTTTCACAAAATCGATGTTATGATATTGTACCTTATTTTAAGATTAAAAAGTCTTTTAAATAGATTTATAGAAGGTACGTATTTATTAATTTATCTTTAAGAAACAAACACGTGTAATCATCAATCGGGGCCATTTGTAGCCGACTATACTGTATGGGTTTTTCTCATAATTGAAGGCCTTACGGCTGCCTATAATTGCTTACATCTACTTCTTTTGAACTTTGGTGAATAGTTGTCTCATTGGCAATCATACCACATCTCCTTATTTTAGATACAAACACCTTTCAGAAAGACTGGTTTTCCATTATCTTGAAAAGAGATATATACTGTAGAATACTGTGTAATATTTGTATATTTAGAATTTGACAGGTACAGAACATGTATAAAGCCTATATTATCTATCATATTTCATCGAAACTGCTCAAGACATTTCTTAATTCTTGTCTGACAATGTTAACAAAATCTATAAGTATTGAATTTTTGGCATATTTCAGTTTTTTGGACTTTTTTTTTTATTTCAAACTGTTCCCTTTGTTCTGAAGGTAATGAAGCAATATTTTTCTCATTCATTGCAAGCAGCTGTAGTTTCGTTTTGTTTTCGTCTTTGCAAAGTTCGTTTTCTTCTAATGTAGATATTGGAATTTTTGATATGTTTAACAGACTCAGATATTTGCTAATTTTAATAAAATCATTTATGATGCTAATCATGTTGATGTGCGACAAGGAAATGAACTTTGATATATTTTGTGAAAATTGCAGCGCTGGATCTACTCTAGTCATTTTTGGTCCCGTGATAGCTCATTGTTCATCGTTGAAGGTCGTCCTGTGACCTATGATTGCTTACTTTACTATATTGTGTCTTGAATGGAGAGAGATCTTGTTTGGCACTCATACCTCATCTTTTTATTTCTGTATACAAAGCACGTTTTAGAAAACCTAAATGGGCAACATAGCACCCACTATGAACCGGAGGATTTAAATGATTGAAGATATTGCACATAAGTCAACAGGACAGCAGCCGAACGTTAAAAATACATCTTAGGTATATTTTTGGACTTCATCGATGGACAAAAGTATACAAAATATGTTAAACTATTTACCGTCCCCGCTTTTTATAACAATTGTTTTTGAGAATACTGAATATTATAACAGTAGTCACTTCATTGGAAATTTCACTGTTTCACGCCGTGAAATTAATGCACAGGTACAATGCATTAAATGGACAAAACCTGTTCAACTACTTTCACAAGGCGAAAAAGAAAGTCGAATTGTGAAGACAGTAAACAATATTGTTTTAATCTGAGCATGCAAATTGAGGATTATGTTATACATTTTACATTAAACACATTCGTTGAACAAAAACATTTATAACGAGAATCCCAGACACTATATTAGTTGACAGTTTTCCCACTTATTCAACGTGTTTTTAAATGATAGTAAACTCGTAGTAGCCCACAATGCATTGTAGTTCATTGAGTCGATTGGTCAATTTTTCAAGGCCATGTTTACCTTCTATTTGGGAAATTACTATGCAAATGTATTCTGACATCATGAATCTAAAGTTCCCGACTTGTTTAATATTAGAATAACTCGGACTTGAGTTAAACGAACAATTGATAGTTTTGCTTGGTGATATGCTATTTTATAGCTATTACTTTTTGGTAACCCCTGTCTTTATTTCTATGTTTTTTAAAAATATTCGTTACTTCGAATAAATTTGATTATAGCACCAATACTAGAATTGACGAACATATTATATTTGCAACGTACAGTTTTCACTGGAACCATATTTGTGTTTTAGTATGGTTTACGTTGTATTTACAAACAGTGCATCTGAAAGTATTTCCATGGAAAGATTTTGACTTAGCAAGCCAAATAATTGTATATACTACCTAACATTATATACTTGTATAAACATAGGCATTTCTTACTGTCCACGTATGAAGGTCAAAGTTGCCAAGTTTTTCCTGTTCGACGATATAACATTTGTGTTTCGGATAAAACTAATTGAAAATGTTTAATTTTAAAATTGTGTGTTTTATGCATAATTTTCGTTCTAATTATGTATCATTATGGATAAAACCTATCAACCTGACGCACAAATTTTAAAACCTAATAATCGGACATTTATTGAAGTAAATTTTATGTGGGAAACAAACAGGTTAACATGTTACATACTCATTGTAGCATTCTCCCTAGATACAATTTGTCGTCACGTTTAAATCAATAGCGAGTTGAACTATCCTTGATCGTTTAGTCATTTCCGCAATCGTGTGGTTAACAAAAACTATAATAAACAAGTTATTTATATGCTAGGGTTGATTTAAAATTTTACATATTGTGTAGACTTCTTTTTGTTGTTGAGGACCTTATTTTATTAATATTGTTAATTTGTGTGTTGTTGAATTTCCTTTTTCGATAAGAATTGTGCAAAACAACGGCTTAACATATGATATTGATTTGATTCTTTTTTTTTCTGTTTGTTCAAAGGTATTACTGTCTTGATTTTATTCAAGCGTTGATTAAACATTAATTGAAAAAATAATAATAATAATAATAATAATAATAATAATAATAATAATAATAATAATAATGTGTCATCAAACATGAAACCTTTGAAAAAACAATAATCGAAAATTCTTTATGAAAATTATTATTTTTATATCGCTTATAACATATTTCTTTGTATTCTGCTTTTTTTTAAAGACAGTTCTCAGGTTTTTGCCAAATTTTACTGTAGTTCTTCTTTCGTCTTATTTTGCATATTACTTTTCTTTTCCAAAAGTCTTATGTAGTACAAAAGAAACTTAAGATTTCATCAACATTTTAACAGTGCTGTTTTTCCAGTTGCATCTAAATTCTGCAAATAAGAGAAAAAGTTTTATGTATTTGTAATTTAGTTGTCAATTCCATAGCAACACAACGACAAGTTCAAAACAAAAACAAAATCAAAAGTCAAGATCTATGTTACACAGAAAAAATCATTTTCATGTTAACACCAAAATAAGTCCATTATTTTTTGAACATCTGTACACTACTGATTTCATATATTGCACACGTATTTACTAAAACTTATTATTCGTGAAATGAGAGTTTTTGGAAATAGTATTACGGCTAATGTATGCATATATATATTTTCTATCGATACCACGTGCCTGTGTTAGGTTCACACAATACCGACAGTTTTTAGTCCTTTGTTTGTCTTGTTTTTATATATATGCTACTAATTTATTAACCGACTGTGATGTCGGAGCGTGAGAATATTGATAACAAACAAATATCATAAGATTTACCCAGGAACCACATAAGGAATAAACATATATAGTTTGGAAGTGATATCAGGATATAACCTTTGCTTAAGAAAAAAACTCAGTAGTCTTTTTTTTGGTACAAATTAATCGAATTGTAAAGTCTTGGATTGTATACTTGATGTAAAGATTTTCCTTTTAGTATTTTTGTCACTGTAGGACTTTTTTTTATATCGATTCAGAAGTTGTACAATATTGGAATCTTTAGACATGTTCCTTTTGAAGTGAGCTCTGTCTAGTTTATATAATCGAAATGAAATGACATTCCATTTCGGTAGACCTTTGATAAATGCGAAACATGTTTTAACTGACCATTTATCCTAGTATATACGATGAATATTCTGTATTTATTTTAGGATTTGTCAGTCGGCATACTTATATGCTAAATTAAACTTTTCTTCAACGTTTGTTTTAGGTTTTGGATTTTTAAATAGTTTGGCCTAGACCATCATTAACGATACATTAACTGTCAAAATGTGCTTCTTGTGAAATGAATTTGCTACCGTCAATAAAATTACACGCTTAAAACATCACAAAATGAGTGATGTACCTTTTGTAGTGAACAATTTTGATCAAAATTCATAGAATTTGTACAAGTTCTGCATCTCTACGTATACTTTAATCAAATAACTTCTAAAAAAATAAAACTATAACACCCACTAAAGACATTTTAGCAATCTTTTTTTTCTTTTTAAATGTTGGATGGATATTAAAGACTATTGTATGTATCTTATATTTACCTTTCGGATTGGAGTTGTATTTCCAAGTTTTATGTGGATCTCATTGGGTATAATCCATAGGAATGTCCCTTCCCTGTGGTTCTTGTGTACAGAGTTAAACTCATCATTGGGTATAATTGGTATTGTTCCGCCAATTCTGATAGACAGGCTGTTTTTCAACCCTATCAATCTTTTCTCACAGAAACAGTTCCCATTCTGAAAAAAGAAATGTATGACGCGGAATTAGGATCATAAATATCGAATTTAGCATATGCTTAAATCATTTTAGCATATGCTATATTATAATTTAGCATATGCTATATTATAATTTAGCATATGCTAAAATGATTTTAGCATATGCTTAAATCATTTAGGGTATGCTTAATTCATTTTAGCATATGCTAAATTCAATTCAGCATATGCTGAATAATTAAGCTTATACAGAAATGTAGGCGCGGAATCAAGGTCATAATTATTCTACAAATCTATTTCAGCATAAGCTTAACGCATTTCAGCATATGCTAAATTCATTTCAGCATATGCTAAATTCATTTCAGCATATGCTAAATTCATTTCAGCATATGCTAAATTCATTTCAGCATATGCTTAATTCATTTCAGCATATGCTAAATTCATTTCAGCATATGCTTAATTCATTTAAGCATATCCTTAATTCAATTAAGTATATACTGAATTGCTGAATTTAAAGAAAATATCATCCAATGAGTGCATCCGTTTCATAAGGGGCAACACTTTGATTTCTAGGGGGTGGCAGGAAGAATTTTTATATCCGAAATATGTATTCTGCTTTGTTTTCGCTCTATCTCTGGAAGGTTTTTCTAAGATAATATCGTGCTTTTTTTTGAAACCTGCCATTTTGTTTTGTCCAATATTCAGGTCCTGCCTTTTTTCAATTTCATCATAGACCCCCCTCCTATAAAAATCAAATGGTAGCTCCCTATATATATGAATGTTGAAATTCACTGCAAACCTTGAATAACCTTAAGACGATCACTGTAGAGCGTTTTATCATCTAAACATTTAATGTTGTTTCTTAATGTAAATACATATATAAAAGGGGGACTAGGGTCCTCTGCCATCCCGCTAAATACGCCTCTGCTACCAATTATTAATAAGTCGATTTTGTATAAACATTTAGCCAGGTCTCGCATGTCGGAAAATTTATTGACACGTGTTTGTTGTTTAAATAAAATTCTATGTGTAATTTTGTATACATTGTATTCGATCTTTTAACCCTTAACGGTGCTTTAGATAAACAATGTGTACATTTGTGGCCGATCGCATGAATGAAAATGTCACTACTGTGTGGGTTTAAAAGGGTCGTATACAATGTATACAAAATTATACATTAAAATATAGATGACAAGTTGAGATTGGAACAAATGATGTTTTTAAATCTTGTACAATGATTATAGCACTATTAGAAATACAAGTCAATTTCTATTTGCAGCACAATCCCATTTGTATTTTTCGAGTAGTTCTGTTTTTGATCGTTTTTAACTTTTGCCACCCCTTTTTAGGGACTTATCATTTTTTATCTGGGAGGGGGGGGGGGGGGCTGGTCAAAATGCAGGGGGGATCAAGTTTTTTTCTGTATGTGGAAAAGGGGGGATTAATTTTTTTTATAAATTCAATGTGGGGGATCAATTTTTTTTGCACATAAAAATAAGTAGTTCACATACTTCAACGGAGACAAAATGTCAAGAAGAACATTACAACAGTCAAATCGAAATATATTAACACCATTCATATACAATTAAGTAAGACATCACAAGACTTTAGTGATGTAGGATCTGAAGCTGCCATTTTGTGTCATTTTGTCCCATATAAAATGCATAGGTGCTTCATAATCCGAAAAATTTAGTCGTTATATTTCACTCACTTCGATCACTAAATTAACAAGCATTACTGCCAAGTTTTGTTATAATCAGCTTAATAGTTTGAGAAAAATTAAGAATAAATTAAAACGAAATCTACAGCGATTTGTGCAAAATTTGTCCAAAAATACAAATCACGCCGCATCATGGAAGAATATAGTGTAGAGCAATAAATTCCCCAATAAATGATTAAATATTCATCTAATCTGCATACAAACAGTTGAATATTGATACAACAGATGATTCTGAGATGACGAACAACACTAATGTATCTTTTTGTTTCATTACAAGATCTCTTTGGGTCCATTTATACCTCTCACTCTCTCAACATTTGTACTTTTTAGGCTAAAAAATCAAAATTTGAGGTTACTATCAAACATTTATGAATGAAATGTGACAATAAATGAGTAATTGAATTGTTCAAGCTGTAAGCATGAACTATCCATATAAAAGTTTAACGACTCAATGGAGGTTTCAATAGATGGGGGGATAAATCGAGTCGAATTCAATTCGAATTAAAAGTACATTTTGTGTACGTGTGAACGATCGAGGCATTAGACAGTGACTGGATTTCCTACTTCGAGCTTACCTATTACCTTCAACATGAAAAAACTTAAAAACAAACCATATGATGAGCTTCCCGGCGTTATATGGCTTTCATCTAGACTATTAGGATGTTAGCAATTATAGGCAACCATACGGCTTTCAACAATGACAAAAACCCATTCCGTATAGTTGGCTATATTTTTTACAAAAAATAAAAAATAAGTCGACAGACATGAACCAACGACTACCACTGAACTATAGGCTCCTAATTTGGGACAGGCACATACAAAATATGCATGCAAATAGAGTTAAACATGTTTGTGAGCGTTCAACCCATTCCTGAACTTTGTCAGTGGTGTAACAGTACAACATAAGAACAAACTGTAAAACCAGTTGAAAATAGATTAAAAGATCGGTACAAGACCCACAAAAAAACACACACACACTAACATTTAGACAATAGCTAAAGACACAAAGCATCGAAATAAGAGTATGTACAATTACTGAAAGTTTGTCCAGAGCGTATTACACTAAGACTGAAATAAATCTTGTTCTATCAGACTCAAGTATCAATCACTACACAACCAACAGATTAAGGCATAAACAGTCTGAGAAACGCCATGACCTTGTATTCTACAATTCAGATTTTCGAAAAGTTGTGATCCGAAGGTTTTTGACCATCGAAATTTTGCAATAGAAATAAAAGTTAGGACTAGCAGATTTTCTTTAAGGGCCACCATCATCTACATATCATATACAAGACAAAAGTCGACAAATTATTGAAAAGTTTAAGATTATTCCTGAAAATCAAATGGTCTAGGCTTTAAGTCCGATTGGTTAAGCAAAATTTAGTTAGGAAAGCAGTTAGAAAAAAAGTCACAAACACAGCGATTTCTTCCAACCAATTGACTTTGTTTTCACACTTATTGTATAATTACATCAAATGCCAAAAACAGAGCACAGTTCCAATGGGCCAAAAGGCCCAGGTGGTACAACTCATGGTTTGTCTTCACCATAGGTACGAACTTGTGTCTACAGGGTCTAACATGCCTACCTCTATTTTTTAAAAGTCTGACAAAAAATCCTAACGGTAAATCATTGTTACCCACTAGGTACAAATGATAGGTAATTGTCTAAGGTTCAATGGGCCTAAAGACCCAGGTCGGACAATTCATGGTTTGTCTAACCATAGGTCCAAAGATAGATATTTTTAAAAATGCCTAGCCCCAATTTTTGAAAATGTGTCAAATTTTCCCTACGGCAATACTTTTTTACCCACAAGGCGCAATTTATGGGTCATGGTCTAAGGTCCAATGGGCCAAAAGTCCCAGGTGGGACAACTCATGGTTTGTCTTCAATAGGTCCGAACTTGGGTCTAAAGGGTCTAACATGCCTACACCGAATTTTTGAAAGAGTGTCAAAAATTCCCTACGGAGATACTTTTTTACCTACTAAGTGAATATGATAGGTAATAGTCAAAGGTCCGATGGGCCAAAAGGCCCAGGTGGGACAACTCATGGTTTGTCTTCACCAAAGGTCCGAGTTCTCGACATAGGCTAGATGTAATTTATGTATGATTTGCATATCCGACAAGAAGTGGCAATCTGACCTTGACCTCAGTTTCATAGTTTATTGGCCAATTTTAAGTATTGGTGATTAAAGGTCTGAATATCGGATAATAAATTTAAACATTCATGAAAGATGCCAAGCAGATGTATAACTGTTTTCTCCAAACTCGCGTTTTCCTACAAAGGATTCATCAGTGACGGTCGATTAAAAAAATATGGAACTAAGAATAATTGGTAAGATTGCCAATGAAGCTACTCTCTACAAGAGACCAAATGTCTTTAGTGATAGAGACTGCATGACACCATACGACACTCAACGCGGAGCAGAAATCTTCACCTCATAGACAATCAAAAACGTGAAAATCATCGGCATTATTTTTAAGGCATAAACCGACAAACCGAAAAGATAGCGTTGAAATAGATATAAGAAGATGTGGTATGAGTGCTAATGAGACAAATCTTTCATCCAAGTCACAGTTTGTAAAAGTAAATCATTATGGGCAGCCCCGATATTTCGACACCCCATTAGTCCGACACCCCATTCGTCCGACACCCCAGCAGTCCGACACGCCATTAGTCCGACACCCAATAGTCCGACATCCAATAGTTCGACATGTAATAAGCCTGCAATCGAAATATATCAAAAAATGTATTTTTTTATATAAGAAATCTTAATAAACTTTTTAATGTTCGTTCAATATTAAGAACAGGATATTGGCCTTCGTGGGAACAGGTGATGCAAGCTTGGTTAATGTATTAGAACTAAAGTAGCAGAATTTCATCACCTTTAGCTGATAGCACAACCTATACTGTGTTAAATCTTGGCGAATTTCTTCAATACCTCTCGATATAGTATCTCAGTAATACAGATTTAAGAAGACGCAGTAAGAAAAAAAATCAAGGTATATGGACCTACATGGAAAAGAAATAAGGAAGATTGGTCGATAGAACGATTACGAAATTATAATGAGCCTTTGCGTGATTGAGTATTTGAAATAGATGATATAATGAAGGCATATACCCACGCTTGCAGTATTTGATGTTTAAGAAAATAAAGGTACATAATTCTTGAACTGTAAAAATGAAAGCTTTAATGTTCGTTCCTATCAAAATAGTTACACGCTTCCGTTAGCTGCAAGTATACCAATTGGTAAAAGAATTTTTTTCTGATTATTAAGTCTTGTCAACCTTTACCTTTCACGAT